CAGGTTTGAATTTTCAGTTTTTAAAATTTTTTGTTGTTGTATGCTTAGTTTGTTATCTGATTTCATTTATGGTTTTTTTGGATGTAGAGTGAAGAATCTGTGGTGGAATCGCTGCAAAATCTAGCAGATATGGATATTACTTTCCAAGCGCTGCAGGTGGAAACGATAAGTTTTCCAGCTAATTTATCTAATCTTTCGACCAATTCCTAATACTTTTTCCTTACATTTTTGTGTTGAATATATGGAGCAGGACACTGATATAGGAAGGCATGTCAATGGATTGCGGAAGCATCCGTCAAATGAAGTGCGCAGATTGGTGAAGCAGCTTGTCAGGTTATTACTTTTATGCGTGGTTAAAATGACTTAGCTTTGAATTCTTTTTCATTTACTTATGATTTCATCTTTCGTGTTTAGGAAATGGAAGGAAACTGTGGATGAGTGGGTTAAGGTGAACCAACCTGAAGCATCTTCAAACCTCATCGGTAAATAGTCCAATTTCTGTTAATTCTCTTCATTTTCACTCTTTCTGGCATATACTACACACGTTAAAAAATAGTTGAATTGAATGAGAGTAATGAATTGTGAATATAGAAGAGGTTTGTATATTGCTAACTGTGGTGGTGGTGGCAGCTTATGGGGACTCACCTCAGCAGAACATGTCCAAAAATCAACAAAATGGCCATCACCAGGTGAAAACCAAATGTTGTTCCAATCAATTTGTTTTCCTGTTAAAAAAGAAAAGAGTGACAAAAGGAAGTGAAGGAAGAAGCAAAGTTGGTATGAATATAGTTTCAAAATTCTGAAGTTCTGTTTTTACAGGTTCTGGATTTCGGGTACTCTCCAAATCCAAGGAGCGAATGTAGGAATCAGATTCTTAAATTTGCAGTTGGTCAGTTTTTTGTTGCTTTCTTTATGTTATGCATTTAGGTGACATCATTCTCATGTTTTGTCTGTTAGATGGGAAGTCTGGTGCGGAGAGGAACAGTTCAGAATATGAACCGAAGCCTAAACCACGTCAATCTGTTCCTCGTAGAGAAACTCCATCCAGACCGCCGCAATCAGTTCCTAAATCTGCTTCTACTCCTCCTAACGTACTGACTTCTGAACTGAACTTTTTACACATACATGTGCACATCACGTATCATTGATTTTGTTGTGTAAATGAATGGTCGTGCCTGTTAAAATTTGTTTGTTTGGCTAAGCTTAGAAGGAAGTTTAGATAGCTTTTTTAGAGGGACTTTATTTTTGGACTTTTTAGTTCAAAAACTCAGTTTTTTTAAAGTCAGTCTCTACTTACCTTCTGAAAAGTACTTTTTCAAGCTTAGCAAAACATTGAATGTTGAGGAAAATTGGTGGAACCTGTCTCATTGATCTTACAAGTGTGTTGTTGAGTCGTTACATGGTTCCTTGATTAGATAGGGCAAAGTTCTTAGCTTTTTTGACCAAGAAGGCAAGATCTTCTGGGCAATTTTTCCATGAAATTGGGATCAAAGATTTCCATGCAATGCAATTGGAGTAAGTTTTATTGTTTAAATTACTTTAATTGAATTTTGCAGAAACCACAACGGGAAGCTGCCATGGACGATGAAAAGCTGAATTCTGCTAGAAGGCGACTTCAAGAAAACTACCAAGAAGCTCAGAATGGTTTGATTTCAACTTAAGAATTTTTGCTGTCATGGAATCTGTAGTAGTAGTAGGAGTGGTTTTAGCTTTTACTGAGGTTTTCTTTCTTTATACTGATTGACTTTTGTCTGCGCTTGTGCATTTTTGCTTTGTCAAGCCAAAAAGCAAAGGACAATTCAGGTGATGGATATTCATGAGATTCCCAAACCAAGGAATGGCTTCATTGCCAGGAATAAAGGTGGCGGAGGCTTTCAGGGAAGGCATCACCGTTGATCTGCCTTTTTTTTTTTGTACCATATAAGCTCGAAATTTGCTCTCTGTTTCTGATGAAGGGATTTACCACGAAAGTGTCTGGAAATCAAGACCTCAGCCCGTTTAATTCCCTGTCAGTAGCCCCTGTTTGAGTAGCATCTCTCTTATTTTATTGTCCAGCAAGGCAGCAATCTAAACATAAATTTTAATTATTGTCATTAGATTTTGTTCTTTCATTTAGGTCCCTTTCAAGTCCTAATTTCAAGGCTAGATGTTTTGTTCAACGATTAAGTCACTGTTTGACACAAATTTTTTGAGAAAAGATTTTGTGAAAATAATTTTTTTCTTTTATAATGGCGAAAAATCTCCTTAGATGACATTTTAATTGCAAAATACAATATTTTCTTTCATTTTTTTAATAAAACCTTTTGAAATGATGAATATACCTTACTCTTTAAATAAAACAAACTGAAAAGAAAAAGTAAAAGACTTAATTGCAACAATAGTCTCAAAATTTTTTTTTTAAAAAATATATATATATAAATGAGTTCCAAATAAATAATTAAAAATTAAAAAAAAAAAAAAATTCTCTCCCTCCTATGCACCACCACTGCTGATAGCCGGAAACAATTAACTCGATTAGCACATAATAGAGTTTTTAGGAAATTGGCAATTTTCCTCTACCTGTCCTGTTAACTAACAAGCAAGAGGAAGTCAATGTTAATGCTACTAGTTTTTCGTTTTCGGATTTCATTTTTACAATATTAAGCAGCCTGTTTGCTTCAGCTAAAAAAATTAAATTAAATTTTAAAGCATAATCACATAATTAATGTGATACACAACTTTTCAACCACATGATCAAGTTTTATCAAAATTTATTAAAAATTTTCGATGCATTTTACAGGCATTTTATCTAGGTGACATGTAAATAGAAATACTTTTATTTAGACAGTCGAGTTCAATTTTCATCTATCTATAATTAATGTAAATTTGATTTTTGACTTTTTATCCCCGTCTTGAAGAGTCTATATTTAGACAAACATTTTTTACAATGTCTACTTCTTTTGTCCCGACAACTAAATATATACTCAATATGTTATATGGGAGATGAACTTTTGTAGACATTCTCCATTATAGCTTATATGATAGTTTTATAATGCAATTCACATTAGTATTGGAGATGCTCACACTCTACTTCGAGTCTAGATTTGTTGTACTTAAATTGATATCTACGTAGTTGTTTGCCGATTAAGCAATTGTTTGGCACATCTTATTTAAAAATAATTTTTTTAAAACCTATTTTCAATCATCTATTATCCAATAAAATAATTCTGCTCATAAACAACTTTTCTCTATTTTTTAACTATACGATTCTACAAAAAATTAATTTTTCACTTCAAATAATCTCTATCACACAAACGTTAAATATTGAGCCATCACCTAAATTTTACACCTCAAATTAAACACTTAAGAGCATATTTAAGAAATTAATATGTTATTTGTAGCATCCGTCATGCCACATAGTGATGTTCTTAAGAAACTCTTTAAGCCCATGTTTAATGGTAATTATTTGGCTAAAACAATGTTTTAATATGATGATTTTTAGAAGAATATATGGTTAAAAAGTAGGGAAAAAATTTTGAATTTACTTGCAAAATATTTTATTGTGTGAATATGTGATTAAAAATGAGTATATACAAAAAAGAGTTTTCAAATAATGATGGTCAAACAAAGGCTTTAGCGATGTGTAAAATTTAAATGACGTCAATAGTTAATTGGAGTACTGCAATAGAGACAGCAATCGACTTACTCAACTTCACATTTTACCACCCCATCCCACCCCGCCTCGTTTCTCTTATATATATACAAGCATTATAAGCGAGGAAATACCCCGACCATTTAAAAAAAAAAACGTTAAAAAGGTTCTAAGACAATGAAAATCCCATAATATCCTCACTTTGAAGAGAGAAAATTTGAAGAAGAGAAAACCAATGACCCACATCGTGGAGGAAACCGATGACCCAGACTGGAGATCGTCATTTCTCTGAAGAAGGTGACGTTTGAAATGTTCCCCAATCTCTTCCACAAGATCGACCTGGTTAGGCAGAAAGCGTCTAATGAATGGTTCAAATACCTTAAGCCCGAGTAAGTATTTTACGATTAAAGTACACTAACTTATCTACGCTTTTTCTAACATTTCTCTTTTTTCTTTTTTCTTTTTTCAGTGATAGCTACAAGATAGGGGAAAAGATGATTCGAACGCTAAAAAGTGGTTTGAAAATATAACAACGCAGTCAGCTTGATTCGTCGACGATGTAAGTGTATTCCCGTTGTTATTTCTTATGTTTACATATTTGTTGTTGATTTAATTAAACAACTCTCTTTTTTTTTTTTTTCTTTATTGGCGATTCTGCTGTAACATATCAATATGGTCATGGAAATGTTGCGCGATTGGACCCGAGATCTTTTAACATTCCTAACCGAATCATCCTGAGCACCGGGTTTGCACGTGCCATTAACATTAAGCATAGCACGCTCCTATTCTAGGGAAATGGTTACGTGGTGCTTAAGTACACGCTCGAGTGGATATGAGCTGACTTGTGGAAAGCCATGGACGGATTGTACACATATGTACATACCAGTGATCACGAACTCACATTGCTTTGCGGTTGAGATCTTATATGCTGATTCCACTATATAGGTTTATGACTCCAATCATAACAGTCGACACAAGGCCAGTTTGAGCAAATGCTAGAGTCGATGACTTTGATCGTCCCCATGATAGCTAGACATGCGATAATTCGAGTAAATGACAGACTAGCCATTGTGCGGAACAAGACGACAATGAGACAAGTAGTATTATAAGTATTTATAACTTTTTCATTTGAAAAATTAGTTTTTAGCTATATGTTATCAAACTAATATATTATTATTTACCTGCAGCGGCGGTTATGGAATTCGTAATAAAATATATAGAACTTTTGAGTATTAAGCGCAAGATTGATACAATAAACCAATCTTGAATTGATAGGTAGATGTTGAAGTTAGCTTACGATTTATATGAATACAATTATAATCCTTAGTACATTTTATATTAGTTTTTTAAAAAATGTAAATATTATTTATTTAATAGTAATCATGATTAATGCAACTGTATATGTAATTCTGAGTGGTTTGATTGTGAAATGATGGAAAACAAAGTATAAGGACCTAATTGTAACTTTTTAATAGTTGATTGGGAACATAAAACGGTGATTGATGATTGAATAGGAACAATTGGAAGCAAGTTTAAAAATCGATCAGAACACTATTCGATTGTGAAATAATGGAAAACAAAGTACGGGGACCTAATTACAACTTTTTAATAGTTGATTGGGAATATAAATTAGTGATCGATGATTAAATAGGAACAATTAGAATTAATTACAAGTTTAAAAATCGATTAGAACATTATTCAATTGTGAAATGTTAGAAAAATAAAGCACGAGGACCTAATTGTAACTTTTTAATAGTTGATTGGGAACATAAAATGGTGATCGATGATTAAATAGGGGCAATTGCAAGTTTAAAAATCGATCAAAACATTATTCGATTGTGAAATGACGAAAAATAAAGTACGGGAACGTAATTGTAACTTTTTAATAGTCGATTGGACACATAAAACGGTGATCGATAATTAAATATGAACAATTGCAAGTTTAAAAATCGATCAGAACATTATTCGATTGTGAATGACTGAAAACAAAGTACGGGAGCCTAATTGGAACTTTTTAATAGTTGATTATGAACATAAAACGGTGATTGAGGATTAAATAGGAACACTCGAAAGCAATTGCACGTTTGAAAATCGATCACAACATTATTTGATTGTGAAATGACGGAAAATAAAGTATGGGAACCTAATTGCAACTTTTTAATACTTGATTGGGAAAATAAAACGGTGATCAGGGATTAAATAGTAAAAATTGGAAGCAATTGCAAGTTTAAATAATTGGAATACTTAATTGAATATTTAACAACGACAATAATTATGCAACAAACAAATTACTATAAACACGAGACAAATTATATTTCTGTCGAATTGTTATGTTGGGATTTGACTTGTACAAAATTAGCAAGTATACCCTGTTGGACACGTTATCGCAATTATGAGGTCGAGAAAAATTTCTGATAGATGGTATTCTACACATATGTCTACGTCTAAGAGTACATGGTCCAACTTCGATTGGCAACAAATTATCAAGTGGAGAATGTGGTCAGGAACTTCCCATTCGATTTCATTTAATAGAGGAAATACAGTTTCGGCATATGTTGCTTTCCAATAATCAGACATATAATAAATGCATAAGGTGCGTGGTGGAAATCTTCTATGCACAGTCACTGCGACTGCATGTACACTTGAAAAACTCTCCAATTGAAACTCTCTATACGTACATGTGTTATCATTCAAGTTCACGATATATCCGATATTACATCCACGTCTCACGGAGAAGTGAAACTGACCCACTAGTTCAACATATAAATTTCTCGCCCCCTCTAGAGTTTTGAAGAATTTATGTTCCTGAGCTGGGGTTAGTACACTTGTGCGAGTTTGTGATTCCTCACGTCGGATATGAAACCACTGATGCAACTTGTTACGAATGTGCTCAATCATTGCTAGAATTGGTAACTACTAATCTTTCTTGAATAATGCGTTGAACGATACTACATTGTTCGACATTATCATATTGTATCGATGTCTTGGAGAATGTGACCATGTCTAATGTTCGCTCCCCATCTCCATTAGATAATCTCATACATTATGTGATTTGTATTCTATTTCGACCATGAACTTATCAAACTTTTCAAAATTGTAAGCCTCTACAACTCTCATGAACAATGCAATGATGACATTTCCCAAATACTTAACCCTTGTTTGAGTTACATTAAAATTTTCATTCTCATTCTTTTACTCATATTCAATCATACATTTTTCAATAAAATAATATTTTTCATCACATTAATAATTTTTCTTTCTTTTTCAACCACACATTCTGCATCAATCTACTATTCCAAAATACATTCTTCCAAAATAATGTGGCTCAAACACACCCTTAGTCTTCAGATTGCCATGTATATAGTACATACAATAACCACGATGTGCCCCAAATTTCTTTTAGTGATATCATTTATTATTGATTGTCCTCGATCAGTTACGAATGCAAGGTTCTACATTTCCCCAATTACTTCCCTTAGCTTTATGAAGAAACAACGCATCGCTAGATCATTTTCGCCATCGACTACGCTCGATGCAGAAGGGTAAATTTGAATGTTAGTATCTTGACATGTTGCAATAATCAACTTTCCTTTGTATCTAGCTTTAAGGATTGTACCGTCGACTAGAGTTAGGGGTCGCATCGATTTCGAAATTCCTGAATGCATTGTCCAAGAGCCATGATTAAATACTTGAAGCTATTCTCACCCTTCGTCTCAGTAGAAAATGTCGATCTAGGATTAGTTATCCCCATGTTAAAATAATACTTGACCAATTTAGCATAAACTTCTTCGGTCAAACACATTAAATCCTCTAACGCACATTCTTTGACCTTCCAGGTCTTCGATAGCTTATGACTAGCCCATACTCTCGACGGATGTCGATAATGATGTCTAAAGGTCTGTACATCATCCGTGGGTCCTGAAATTTGTGCATTATATGTCGACCAATACATCATACTCGGGCTTGCCTGTGATCATTTTGACGATTACCACTTCGCAAGTATGTTCTCGTGCATACTTGCGAATTACAAAGAACTCATTCGTATCTATCTTCGTATTGCAAACGCCAACGAAAACTATCATCAATGCAGATAATTTTGTACGTCGACTTGTTTGATTTATTCCTTTAAACTCAGAGTTGTGTTTCAATACAATTCGATGCACAACTTCTTGCAAATCTTTCTTTGTTTCAAATAATTGTTTGACATGCAAATCTTTATCATCGAGAAACACATGCGAACAATTAGAGGACCGTGCATTCGTTTTAGCCTTGAGCTCCTACCTGACTCATGTCTCCAACGGGATAAATCAATTAAATCTTCATTTGTAAATTTATTTTCATTTTCATTATCTTGAACTATTGAGGGAATTCTGTACATAATAGTGAAATCATGATAAAGAACATCTGCCTCGAAAATAACCACATCATCCTCACGAGTTATCTCCATGTAAAATCGTTCACATTATGATCCCCTTCATTGAAATCTTCGTGTCACTCTCGAGAACACTCTTCTTCGCTAAAGTTACGCAAATAGGAGTTTTGCGATTTTGGTTCAATTCAATTAGAACCTTCATTTCAGCTTCAAAAGTGACATTTACTAGTGGAATTGAAATGGATGTATGCTCGTTTCAATTCCATGTCATAATGAGATGGACCGACATTGAGCTTGTTCTATAAATCATGGTACATTTCTACATATTATGTACTTGATGTAAACACAATTGCAATAGCACCACGTCTTTCACTCGTCCATTTCTATACCCATCGATCATTTTCATTCATTTCAAATTCACTAAATTAGCAAATCGGGACTGCGGCTGATCTCATATCTACATTACGAAACATAATTTAAAAAAAAAATCAAATAATTATGGCATAAAAAACAAAGAAAACCGTTTGTAGCTGGCCCACCAACTGGGCCCATCCTTTAGGCCGACGACGATTGGGTTGATTGTTAAAAGCTGGTCCCGATATATGCAGATGAAGTTTTTTTTCCCTTTTTTGCTTAGAGAAAATTATAGATATGTTGCCCAGATGGCCGGGTCAGTTGTTAACAGCCAGTCCAGATACATGCAAATGAATTTTTTTACTTTTTCTTAAAGAAAATTATAGGTATGTTTAAGAAATATAAAAATTTATCTGATTATGTCGAAATAAGATGCAACGATTACAAAATATACTAGTTGAACAAAAATGAAATTAAATGTACGTAAATATACTTATCGATTCGAAGTAATGGCTATAAACAATTTTCTTGTTGAGCGTTTGATAAATTTATGAGATTTTAAGGTTGAAGTAGATGAAAAATAAAATAGATTTTATCTGTGTTGGAGTAAACTTATAATGAAAGTGACTTGAATTTTAATTTAAGTGGGAAGTATTTCGATTTTTTTGTAATTTAAAGGATATTATTGTCTTTTAAATACAACCATATTTTTGTAACTATATAACATATTTAAAGGTATATTTGTTTTTAATTATTAAAAGGTCATTGTAGTGAATTGAAAAAAAGAAAAAAAGGGTAATGTAGAAAATGTATATGTTGACATGGCCAAACAAAAAAGTACCCCATTATATGCTTACTGCCATTTCCAGTTGGTTGAAGAGAGTAGCGTGGGAACTGTGACTAGAGAGCGAAAATGGCAGTAACAGGATACGCACAAAAATCATTTGGTTGGGCTGCAACAGATACCTCTGGCGTTCTCTCTCCTTTACATTTCTCTCGCAGGTACTCATACACACACAGACGTATACTCATGTACATACATCTGCGCGAGCGCCTTTTTTCTAATGTACCTATGGATTCTTATTAATCTCTCGTGTGCGTTGCCATTGATTTTGATTTTAACAATTATATACAAGATTTAAATACACACATACTTGTAGAAAATTGATTTGAGAGAACTCCATTATAGAAGTGGGTATCGCGATGAGAATGTTCGGGTTTGCGTTGCGACCGACTGATGATTTTATTTTTTTTGTTTTTATCAGGTAGCTGCGAAAAAATCTGCTTTCAAGTGATTATTTTATTCGATTTGTGAATTGAAACCTAGTTGATAGATACAACTAGAAAATTTAGGAAAATAATGGAAAACGTCTTGTCTTTTGTCTCTCTTATATCTTTATCCTTTTTCTCCAATCTGATTCTGAAAGCTCCGTTGTTTTTAGTTTTTGCTTTAGAGGAAAATGACGGCTCCACCTACATTTTAGTGGCCTCAAGTAATTGTTATTGGTGTAGTATTAATGCTAGTTTCTTCACTCTTATTGGTTATTACCATTTCTGCAGTACTGTTAATCTTTGGTGGGCGAGGCCAACTTGTTAACCATTTTTCAAGTTCTTGGTGATTACCCCATAGTGGTGGTTTCAAATCAAATACCCATCACTCATTTTGCAATTTTAAATTACTTGTAAATACTTAAACAGTACTACGGCTCCCTTTGTTTCTTCACTCCTATAACCAGTTCTGCAATAATATTAATACTTTGGTAGGCCAGGCCAACTTGCCAACCATTTTTTAAGTTCTTGCCGATAACCCCATAGTGGTTGTTTCATATCAAATAACCATCAACCCATTTTGCTATTTCAAACTACTTGCAAATACTTAATAGTGCTACTAAATAGTTGCAGTGTGATGTTTGATAAAACAGTTACTATCTATGCGATGTTAATGTTTGTTATATTGGTAATTAATAATTATCCATTGCATTATTTGCAGGGAAAACGGTTCTGATGATGTGACAATCAAAATACTTTACTGTGGAGTTTGCCACTCCGACTTGCACAGTGTAAAGAATGACTGGGGGTTTACAAAATACCCCATTGTTCCTGGGTATGATTTTGATCTCACACTAACTTTGAATACCGACTTAGTGATTTAGTATGTGAACGTTACTCAATAATTCCAACTATTTGTTCTCTATAGTCGCAACACAATTGTTTCTGTTTCTTTTAATATGTTGGAAAGTGATGCAGTTAGTGGACGTTACAGTCTTATAGTTAGTTATTTGAAACTGTATGATGATATGATCAGATTAAGTGTGAGTTACTTTGAATGAATTTACAACTAACATTTCACCATGAGTATGGAACTTTTGTCTAATTGACTTTCACTTGAGTAGTTGGGAATGATTTATCCGTACCATCTGATGGCATAGACTCAATGCTAAAATCAAAGTCATTGTTACATTCCTAGTGAAGAAAATTAACTTCCTAATGTATGATACACACCAAAAATGCACACTTATTTTAGGTTTTATGGAGAAACTAGGAATTAGATATCAATTTATTTTCTTGTAATAGTTGTAAATTCTAAGTTGGGAAATTTTTCAATTTGTTATTTTACTAAGTTCTCATTCTTGCCAAATGAATTTTGCAGATTGATACGTAATAATTTAGTTCCAAATGTCTTTTGAATAGATATTGATTTGTGATATTCAGCATAATTGAAATTCGCTCTAGATCGAGCTTAAATTGATCAATGTTGGAAACACGTACTTGTGCAGACATGAAATTGTTGGTCTTGTGACAAAAACTGGATGTGATGTTCAGAAATTTAAGGTTGGTGACCGAGTTGGAGTTGGAGTGATAGTTGGCTCCTGTAAGACATGTGACATCTGCCAACAAGACCTGGAGAATTACTGCCCCAAAGTGATATTTACTTACAACTCTAGGGATCAAGATGGCACTAGAACATATGGAGGTTATTCTGATATAGTTGTTGTTGACCAGCACTTTGTGCTCCACATTCCTGATAACCTATCATCAGATGCATGTGCACCTTTATTGTGTGCTGGGATCACCGTATACAGTCCAATGAAATACTATGGGATGGCTGAACCTGGAAAACACTTGGGTGTGGCTGGACTTGGGGGACTTGGTCATGTTGCTGTAAAGTTTGGGAAGGCCTTTGGGCTGAAAGTTACTGTCATCAGCACCTCTCAGAAGAAAGAATCTGAGGCTATCAACAAGCTTGGTGCTGATTCTTTCCTTGTTAGCACTGATCCTGCTCAGTTGAAGGTAATTGACAATTAGCATATATTGACTAGCAAAACTATCACCAACTTTAATATCTCAAGGGGTATAGTAGGAAGCAAAGTATTTTGTCATTTTGAATAATAGGTAACAATTAACTTTGGGACAAACCAGGATTGTAATCCAAAAGAACAAAATAGAACTATCAAAGTATTTAAATTTTTAAATTTTTTCAGTTTCATTGTTGCAGGCTGCTATGGGGACCATGGATTTCATCATTGATACCATTGCTGCAGTTCATTCCTTGGCCCCGTTGCTTGATCTTTTGAAGATGAATGGAAAACTGGTGACCGTTGGCCTGCCTGATAAGCCCTTAGAGCTACCTATTTTCCCTCTAGTGTTGGGTAAGAAAGATTGGTAGTTTAAGCCTCTTGTACACCAAGTAAACAATGATGTAGAGTTCAAATGTTGGTGAATATTGTTCTCTTTCTGCATCCTCCTTTTTCCTAGTTTCTTACCCTCCAAAAATGCTCAGTTATGGATGGAATCAGAAATAACCAATGCTCAAACTTAAGTTGATACGTTTTTGAGAGCTGAACTACATAATTATATGGAGTTTAGTTAAAATGAAAGTAAGAGAAAAACGACGCGGAGAGTGAGAATAGGTCGACAGTCTATACGATTTTGTTGCCTTAAACCCAACCAATTAGCTGAGGAAATAATAACCTCATCATCAAATTATGTAACTTCTTGTCTATTATTGGGATCAGTATTTTGCCATTGCAGTCTTGTCAAGGAAGTGCTAGTTCGACTGTTTATTTGAATGATCATCTTGCTTTTACTTGAAAGTGTGATCAGCCGTATTTAGAATTCCAACAAAGATTATATCATACTTCTGATGTATATACCTATGAGTTTACAGGACGGAAGCTTGTAGGTGGAAGTGACATCGGAGGCATGAAAGAGACGCAAGAGATGCTAGACTTCTGCGGGAAGCACAATATAAATGCTGACATTGAACTGATCCACATTGACTATATCAACACGGCTTTTGAACGCCTTGCCAAATCTGAAGTTAGATACCGTTTTGTGATTGATGTGGCAAACTCCTTGGCAAGAAATTAAGTGGTGAAATCATGCTGCTGTCTCCTTCATCTTCATGATGCGTCATTTGAAATGTAACATATTTGAAACATTCGATTCAGAAATGCAATGGTAATTGGCAAGGTGAAACATCTTCAGTTTTGTTGAACCAGACATAAGTTTACTGGTGATTTAATTAATAAAAATCAAATCTTTCTGGGTTTTTTTTTTCTTTTTGGTCTGTGCTTTTATACGAGTATGTATTTATGCAAATTTTATATATTTATCCGTGTACATCCGTGCATGTGGAAGATACGTGTAGGTTCTACTTTATAAGTTGCAGCCACAAATAATCTCCTAACTAGGTCCATCCAGTGCTGTTACTAGCATGAATGTTTTAGAAACATAACAAAATTTTGGCTATATGATAAGACAATTATTATGCAGGTATCATTTCACCCTCCAATTTTATCCTAAATAGCACTTCAATTGCCTATACTCAAGCTAGATGGGGACTATTTATCAATTTGCTCTTTTCCCTTGGGTACTTAGGTTGGAAACATATTTAAAGAATATGCATATAGCCCTTTCTAGTAGATTATAGATGAAATGGTTCAATGTAGTATTAAAGTTGGCAAAGATCATAGTTCAAATCTCACTTCTATTGGTTTATTGAAATTGTGTACGTTTCAGACTCTTGAAAATGAATATCACTTACCTTGATAGCGACGGTGAAATCATCCTACCCATGGCTTTATAGAATTCCAACCAATTTAACACATTCAAAAATCCCTACGACTTGCCTATTGAACAAAGGTACAACTTCATCAATGGTAAAAGGCAGTTTAGTTGTTGATTCAGTATGAAATCAAGATATGTTTTAATTATTTTTTTCGTTCAGTACAATGAATCGATTTAAAAAAAAAAAAATTCTTAATATTGTGCAGTAATACTGTCAAAAAATTAATCGTCACTCTTATTCGTCTTCCCAAACTTTTGAATAAAAGTTTTCTTGAAATTTTAGTAAATGCTAAAATCAAGAAACATTTTTTATGTTCAACTGCTAAAATGTACTAGAGTTTGTGAGGAGACATTCAATGCTTGAATTGAACTAGGAATCACTAAACTAGTAAACTATGGAGAGAGAGAGAAAACTAGAGCAAGCATTTAGAAGATTGTCACATAAGTTAAAACAAACTAGGTTTATAAAAAGTTTATTTTCAATGAAATATGTTTAGGACTATGTTTAGCCGTGCCAAGAAAATATTCAAATATTTTGAAGAAATCTGCAAAGATGTAAAGGCTCTTATAAACGAGCGAGTCGACAAAATTTATTATTTCATTTCCTTCTCTCTCATGTTTGTTATTTTTCTCTCTTGTTAAATATGCTTTAGAGATGTAATTTGAATTATAGTCGAAACTCACTGAAAATTAAATTTGAACTTAATCGTCTATTCATTAGAGATCAATCATACGTAAATCGAAAGTCTTTCTATTTCAATTTATATGCCATATAAATAACAATTCTCATGCCAAGAATTGGCTCACGTATGAACAATGGCTAAATTTGTTAACCATCTTAAAAAGAATAATTTTTTTCGACTCCTTATTTCCGTCAAGGGTTTCGATTTTCAAAAGACTTCGAAATGAGCACACTAACATTTACAGTAGTGAAATTAAAGCGCTATCCAAGAAATTCCCATTTGAATATTCCTATTATTACAAATAGTTATATGTACTCGTCTTTCCTATTTGTACCCTTTCTAGTCGTCTTCGAATATGCTGCAATCAATCCTCAATAAAATACTTAATAATCCCTCCTTTAATTTCCTACTTAACTGTATTCATTTGTTTCTTTTAACTAACAATTTTCTTAGTTTTATACCTGACATCACTGTCTTGTTTTTTAAGAATAAACCATTTTTTAAGATTCAAAATTATCAGAAATTTCACCCGGATTTATCCATTTATTAATTCTGGAGGAGTAGGTAACATTTAGTACAGTGTTTTCAGCCATCTATAAAACTCAATATAAGAATTCCACCATTGTTACATAATTCAAGATTTCCTGTTCTTTTTTATTCTCCAAGAAATCATGACTTCCTCTTTCCTTTTAACCTCTTTGTATTTGTCTCTAATTTTGCTACTAACAGTGTTCAGGGCTGTGGCTCGGGGACATTTAATTGATCCCACAAAAGGGTTCATTCCTCTCCCACTAAATGAATCAAATTTGGTAATTCAAAGGCCTTATGATTTACTCCAAGATCAGAGGTATAGCTTCAGACATGGAGTTCATAAATTGTGGGTTTTCAGAACAGATAAACCCCACACTCCAGTCAGTAAAACCAACCCACGTACAGAAATTCGTATAAAAGTAAGTATATATGCACATTTTATATATTAACGTGCGTGTAGGATACGCGTACATTTTACTTATAGCCACAAAAAATTTCCTAGGTTGGTTGGTCAGTCGGTCAATACACTGTTACCAGTAGCTTTAATTGACAGTTGTTGGAACATAATAAACCAAAGTTCTTGATTATATATATGTGTAGAAATAATTTCACCCTTCAAGATTATTTTAGGGTATAAAACAACTCTCTTTATCTCTTTCTTTCATTTGTTTTTATTTACTAATATTTTAATCATTCATATCCGCACATTTCATAGCTTGTTAAACCGCGTAATCTAAAACTCTAACTGTAAAATGCAGCAATAAACTTATTTAAATTGTGTTCAAACACTTTCTTCTTTCATTACAGGGATACGACTACTCCTCCGGTGTATGGCAATTCGAAGCATTTGGATACATACCTTGTGGAACAACCGGTGTCTGCGTCATGCAAGTTTTCGGATCGAGCCCGCCTCACGCCACAACCCTAATGCTCAGAGTTTACAATGGCTCACTCACATACTACAGGGAGCCGGTTATTATCCCAAATGTATATGATAAATGGTTCAGATTGAATGTAATCCATGATGTTGAGGCCAATAAAGTAGACGTTTACATTAATGGTATCCTCAGATATGAAGCTCCTGGCCGTGGAGGAACCTCTCATTATTTCAAGTGTGGAGTTTATGCACAGGATGATGGCTCCTACTACATGGAATCTCGTTGGAAGGGGATTAGGGTTCTTAAAAAGTGTGATTGATAATTAATTATCCTTGTTTTAATTTATTTTCTTAATGAGTAAAATAGTCATGTATTCTTGAATATATGGTGTATCAAATTAAAAGTGCTATCTTCTTTTCATTTCTATTTAAGAATGAACTTAGGCTATGTTTGTAAAAAAATTTTCACTTTAATGGACAATTTCCATGTAAAACGAAGTCAAATGAACACTAAACTTTGATGAAAAAATAGTTTTCGAGCAAATTTTTTTTTTTTTAATTTTTTTTTGTGACAATGGTAACAAATTTCATAATCAATCACTTTAATTGACAATTTTCATGTAAAATAAAGTCAAATGTGAACAAAAAGATCCAAAATTTCAAAATTTTCTCGAGTGGAAAACTATATCAATCAAACACACTTAATTAACAATTACTTGCAAAACAAGTTCTAGGCAATTATTTTTTCGAAAATTCGTTTTCTTTTCACCTATTTTCCACAATTGAAATCAAACCGACCCTTACAGAAAAGTCTTATATGGATTATCAAGGAAGTGAACAATTTATATACCCTTAAAAAGTTTACTATCTCTGTACTTTTTTTTTTCCAAACATTCTTTTAGGATCCGTTTGATTGCAAGGGTGGAAAATAGGTGGAAAGAAAATGAATTCCAAGGAAAATAATTGCCTAGAAAATGTTTTGCATAGAATTGTTAATTAAATGTGCTTGATTGATATAATTTTCTATTCGAAAAATTTTTAAATTTTGTGTTTGTTTGGTTTTGTTTTACATGAAAATTGTCCATTAAAGTGATATTTTTTTTTTCTACAATTGATTATATAAAATTTGTTTCCAT